GAGGAGGAGGAGGAGGAGGAGGAGGAGGAGGAGGAGGAGGAGGAGGAGGAGTTCATGAGTGGTCCCTAATTTCTGGCTCCCAGCAGTTTCTCCTGCCCCTTGATCCCTATCACAGTCCTAAAATAGACTGGGTTCCACTCACCAGTTGAGTAAAAACACAGGCGGAAGGAAGTGGTTAACACATAGATGACGGCCAGGAACCCATTCAGAGGCCCATCCACACCAAGGAGCAGAGCCGAGGCCAGGCCAAAGGTGGTGAAGACAGCGAAGTCATTCAGTTCAAGTCCTGCTTTAGAGGTCAAGGTTCACTCACAGACATGCAGTCTACACCCTAGCCTCTCTTGGGTGACTGGAGCAGGGACAGCTGGGATGCCGGGGTCTCAAAGGGCAGCAGCTACTCCCTAAAGATGGTCTATAGATTAAAGCCTGGGTCATCCCCCCCACTCCCAGATCTCTCTCTGCTGGTCCCTGTCAGTTATGCAAAGCTTAGCACCCAGTTCACAAGCCTCAGGACCTTTGTCAGGAAGAACCTTATATGGAAACATCTCAAAGTATTTTGAACCAGCTGCTTTGCCTGGGGATCTCTCATCCTCTCGCTGACCCTCGTCACCCCTTCACTTCACAATAAATCTGCAGTGCATATTCCTCACTAAGGGAACACTTGGAAGGCAGGAAAGGATCAACAGCAAAGAAAATGCTTGATTAACTCAAAGTGAAATCTTACCTCATAAAACAATAACCATAATAATGTACTATGGAGTATAAACACAAGACCAGAATCCTTAGCAAAATCGCATAAACCAAAAGAAGAGGAAATGGGATTGGAGCAGAGGGGTGAGGAAGATAAGAGCTAAACATGAGGGTGAGGGCAGGGCTAAGATGGGGAAGCCAGCCAGCCCAGGAGATGAGTCCAGGATGCAGACAGCTTCACTCCTGGGGCAGGATGGCTTTCTTTATTGGCATATGAACAATTGGGGGTGACTGAGGAAGGTCTGCCTGGTGTCAGAGCGATGGATCGTAGTAGCCTGAGATGGATGCTCCCCCAGAGTGGGGATTAGAGGGCCCCAAGGTTGAACTCACCTAATTTGTGGCAGATGTTGAGGTGCCTGATCATCGTCCCTACTGCCATGTCTAACAGGAAGCTGATCAAAAGCATCCAGGAAGCACAGTGGGATTTCCTAGAGTGGGCCAGCAGGGCAGCTTCTCGTAGTCCCCACTGGACAAGCGCACACTCAATGCCTACGCCCCACTCACCCATATCCCTTCCAGCATCTACTACTCTAAGTATTTCACTCACCCCTCATAGGCGGCCCTATCCCTCCCAAACTCCCAATACATAGTCTCTTTATAATTTTTTAAATTTTATGTGTCTGAGTTGTTTTGCCTGCATATGCATCTGTACACCACATTCAATACATTGCCCAGGAAGATCAGAAGAGGATCTCATGGGACTGGAGTTGCAGATGACTGTGAACCATACTATGTGGGTGCTGATAATCAAACCCAGGTCCTCTAGAAAAGCAGCCAGTGCTCTTAACCACTGAGCCATCTTTTCAGTCCCAACCAATAATTTAAAGAGGTTCTCTGACACTCCAAGCCCTCCAGTAATCACCAAAGTCCCTTCCAACTCTTCTTTCTTAGTCGGGGAGGGTGTTTCGAGACAGGGTTTCTCTGTGTAGCTCTGGCTGAACTGGAACTCGCTCTGTAGACCAGTTCAGCCTCAAACCCAGAGATCCACCTGCCTCTTCCTCCTGAGTGCTGGGATTAAAGATGTGTGCCACCACCACCCAGCTCCTTCCAATTCTTAAGCCTCAATGTATGTGACAGCACAGGCTCCTTCCCTCATTCCTAGAGCAGCCCCTACCACTATCCCACTGTGGCTCTTCAGATAAACTACTGTTTGTCTGTGTCTCTTTCTCTGCGTGTGAAATGAAGGATTTGTGCTATGTGATCCCCTCTCCTTTCTTCTCTTTTCCCCTCCTCTCCTTTCCTTTTTTTCATTCTGTGGTGGTTTGAATGAGAATGCCCCCCATAGCTCACACATCAAATACTTGGTCCCCAGTTGGTGGAACTGTTTGGAAAGGATTAGGTGTGGCCTTGTTGAAGACACTGTGTCCCAGGAACAGACTTTGAGGTTTCAAAAGACTCCTGCCATTCTCAGCGTCACTCTCTCTGCCTCCGGCCTTCAGATCAAAACACGTACCCTCAGCTGCTCCTGCCTTTGCTCTGCCATCATGGACTTTTGTCCTGTGAAGCTAAACCCAGCTAAATGCTTTCTTTCCTAAGTTGCCTTTGTCATGGTGTTTTATGAAAGCAACAGAGAAGGTAACTGAGACACCTGTTCTTCAGGAGCCACTGACCCTGAAGGGTTTCTCAGTGAGACCTGGGGTTCGCTGGTCTGGCAAGGCTGGATGGCCAGTGAGCCCCACAGAGTCTCTACCTCTCCAGCACTGGGATCCTGAGGACACACACTGTGCTTGGATTTCTTCCATGGCTGCTCAGAACTGAATGCAGGCCCTCATGCTTGAGCCACAAGCACTTTATTGCCTGAGTGATCTCCCCTAAACCTGGTCTTGAACTTTGGATCCTCCTGCCTCCACCTCCCAAGTTCAGGGATTACAATTTTATGCCACCACACCCAACTAAATTCTGACTTTCCTACAATGTTAACCATCTGGTACTTTTTGTTTTTTCTTCTTCAATACTGGAGACTGAAGCTCGGGCCTCACACACTCCAGGCAAGCGCTTTTCCATGAGCTATCCCTTGTCAGGGTTTGCGTGTTCTTTCCATTTCTGAGCTTTAGATTAATTCCATTTGGCCCGAGATCACCTTCTTTATGACTTCCAGTCTTTTATATATCTAGAATGCAGACAGAACCCTCTAAGAGAGCCTGAGAATACTACGCATTCTGTTATTCTTGGACAAAGTGTCTGCAGCTGTCAACCACAGCCAGACACCGGAGGGTGTGGCCAAGATGAATATGCTTGCTGATTTTCCATGGATGAGCGATAGATGTTGATATTTCCACCTATAGTATGGATCTGCCAGTGTCTGCCAAGTTCTCGTGGGTTTGATGTGTGTGGCAAGGACCCACCAGTGTCTCCCACATCCTCTCACGTTTGAGAGATCACCCTCACGTTCCTCATTGCACCTCATCCATCATGAGATGTTCCCATATGGTCCCTTTGTGAGCGGCCACACAGTCCAAAGGGAACCTGCCCACGGAGGTCTACTGCCAACCCTGCCCTGGATTAAGATGCTTAGGTGACCCAGCAGAAGCAGAGAGCCTGACCTCTGACCTCAGCCATCCCCAAACAACTTCAACATTTGTTTAGACTACAACTGAATATCTAAAAGGACCTGAGGCTAAATGAAAATAACAGAACCTACAATCATAACATAAAATTACCCTCTCAGCGGATTTGGCTAAACCGAGATTTTCCTACCACAGATGTGCATTCTCCATTTATTAGACTCCAAATTTATGGATGAAAAATGGATACAGAAAGAAGCCACATGCTGGTCCTGGAGAATCAGGCACACCAGGAGTGCATCAGAAAGAGTTTCCTTTAAAGAACTGAGCTGCCAAAGGCCTCTAAATTTAGGAACCCAACTTACAGGACCATAAACTGCCCCTGCTTTCTTGGTGACATCTTAACTAGGACAATCTCCAGAACAGTGCTAACGTCGGGTATTCAAGTCATATGTTCTGATTCAAGAACCAGAAAACATGAGTGAAGCCAAGCAAGGTGACTCACCTACAGTTCCAGAGTTGGGATGTGGAAGCAGAAGGATCGAAGTTCAAGGCCATCCTAAGCCACATAGTGAGTTCAAGACCATCCTGGGCTCCATTAGGGAGAGGATGGAGGGAAAGGAAGGAAAGAGGTTGGGGAGGGGCCTATGAATACTACTATGCATCTTTTTTCTCCTACAGTCATTCTGAACTGCTATAGCTTGAAGGGACAAGGAAGATTAATTATAACACAAACTCTTCGTGGTACAAAAGGACCGAGGTTCAGAGATGTAACTGAGCTGAACTCACTTACCAGAAAGGTAGCAACATGAAGGCCATGATTCTGGCTTTGAAACTAGTATACTGTCTGCACCCCCAAGTTGATCTTTCAGCCACAGTGATTAGGTCTTTAGCGTCTGCCTCCCCCTCCTCAGACTAAGAGCAGGCTGTGCCCCAGACCTACCTGCTGAAGCTGCAGAAGATGGAGAAGAGCCCCAGGACCATGTTGGCCAGGGACAAGGCATTAATAACATCCTTCCAGGAAAGTTCAGCCACCTGAGGAATGGTCTGCTCATGGCTCAAGATGTCCTGACCTGTGGCCCAGGAGAGAGGTGCACAGGGTTCCCAAGGTCAAGGGGTCTTCAAAGAGCTCTCAGAGACCCCATCCCAGAACTGCCTCTCCACATCCTACTCACTGATTGAGAATACAAGTTAGCAAGGAGACACCAGAGATACGCTCAGCAGTCGGGCAGGTGAACGTGCATGGGCATCCCATCCTCTCCTGCCCTGGTCCCACGGCACAGACATCCTCCCAGGAGCCTTTTGACACCTCAAAGGCCTCCATCTGAGAGATAGGGCTCATCATAGAGACCTCAGAGCACACCACAACACTGGTCCCATCTCCAACAGAGAAGGAAATCAACTCCACAGAATGGATGTGGACAGCATTCAGTGGCTCCCCAGCACCTTCCACTGTGTTCTGTCCTCTGGTCTGGGCTAACTTAAGGGTATACTCTTTCTTCCCCTATTTTATGAATGAAGAACCTCAAGTTCAGCAAATTGGCAACATCTGCTCAATGTCACGCAGTAAGTTAGTAGAAGCAAACCCCGCTGCTTGGTCCTCATCTGCTGCTGTTTCTGGCCCCAGCAGGAGGTGGTTTGGGGGCTAGAACTGAGGAGGTCACTGGGATGGCCTTACCAGACAGCCTCTGCATGCCAGCACAGGCCATGGCCAGGCCTTTGACCACCATGGCATCTCTCACAGCGGCAGGGAACCAGTTGGCCTATCCATCTTCACAGTTTTGACTTTGTTTTTACACTATGTCCAAACAAATGTGCTCCTTACACATCAATCGTTTTTGTCCTCTCTGAGACAGACAAGCCCCACTAATGGGATAAACACATCAGTCACATAGAGTAGCCCTACCCTTGAGAGGTATGAGTAATTCTCCGTCTCACATCCATTTTTTCTTGGCCTCCAAACAGGCCCTCTGGACAGTTCCCAGCCCTTACGGTCTGAGCAAGAATCGAGACAAGACCAGATGTGGCAGCACACATCTTTAATCCTAGCATCTGGGAGGCAGAGGCAAGTGGATCTGTGAGTTCGAGGCCAGCCTGGTCTATGTCGTGAATATCCAGGACAGACAAAGCTACATAGTGAGTCCTGTCTCAAAAAGTAAGTAAGTAAGTAAGTAAATAAATAAATAAATAAATAAATAAAGGGATTGAGACAAACTATGATCTTTAAAAAGAAAAAAAGGAAGAAGAAAAAACTGCCATCAAGATGTCCAGTGCTACAAGGGGCTGGACTTGGGTCTGGGACTGGAATATCCTAAGGCGTCACTGAAGGGCTTGTTGTTCCCATAGGCAACCTCAGTCACCCAAAGAATCAACAACTGTGTGACCAAAGCCATCGGGATTAACACCTAAGATAGGAAATGATGTAAGACTGGGAAGCTGGGAGTGAAGAGGAGAAGATTTTGGCTGCACCATGCCACTCCATCAGTCTACACAGCCATCTCTCCTGCAAGGACTCTCCAGCCAAGCCCTGCAGAACTGGATGCTTGAGTGCCTGGGCCAGGCCCTGGCCACCTGCCAGTCCACCTACCATCATCTTGAAGGACAGCAACTCTGTGTCTCTGCCTCTCAGGACAGGTGAGCAGACGGCCAGGCTTCCAACAGACACTGCCTCGTTTGTGCTGCTTAGCCCTAATTAATGATTAGCCCTAATTAATGATTAGTCACCTGCTGTACCAAGCACCTGTCCACAGAGCCTTGGACACCTGGGATCCCCATTGCGCTCAGTCTGGCAAGGGCTGTCATCCCTGCTTATATATCCCAAGGAAGGCAAACACAACAGAGAGGGGAAAGCCTTGGGAGCGGTCACTCGGAAGTTACAGGATGAGGCTCAGTTCTGCCTTGCGTGTTCTCTGTACTCTGCCAACTATTAGCAAACAGGAATATTTCTCAGGCTCTATGCTTAGTCTAGGCTCAGAGAACCCCTGAGCCACTGCCTTCAAAGAACAATCAGTTAGTCTGTCTGTCTAGAGTAGTGGTTCTCAATCTGTGGATCGTGACCCTTCTAGGGGGTTGAATAACCCTTTCACAGGGGTCGCATATCAGATATTTATGATTCATAATAGCAAAATCACAGTATGAAGTAACAACAAAAATAATTTTATAGTTGGGGGTCACCACAACATGAGGAATTATATTAATGGGTCACAGCTTTAGGCAGTGGAGAGCCAGTGGTCTAGAGAAATGAGACACAAGCATACAATTTTACAGATGGGAAAGTGAGCCTTCCAAATAGGAAAGGGCTTGTCTCAGAAAAGGTGGAGCAAGGATTTGAACTGAGTCTCCCCTTTCTTGGTTAAATATGATTTGTAAAATCTATACACAGGTCCCAGGAGCAAAAGGATGGGGATTTGAGAAGAAGGGCAGTTTAAGCCCCCAGAAATAGAGAGTAATCTACTCACTCCTACAGCAGGGTACGTGTTTAGGAGCAAATCTGATGCTTGGTGCTGCGGACACAGAGATGACTGTGAACTGATCTCTCAAGGAACAGTCAAGCAGAGGATGCAGCCCAGCATGGAAGAAGAGACAGGACCACGTGAGCACCGAAAGGGACTGGCCTGCCTGGGGGAGGCTTTCAGAGGAGGGGTAGAATCTGCCCCAAGCAGATTCGGTTATATGTCAGTTTCTCGAATCCCTCTGTGGAGCCCAGCCCTGCTTAGCTCTCCAGCTTCCCCTCTCCAGCCCGGCTGAAACCCTCCTCTGGGGTCCATTCTTAGGTCTTGGGTTGGTCCTCTTTGAGGAGCCTCCTGACAGCCCACAGAGCCTGTAAATGCTTTTCTTGGAAGATTTCTTGTGCTCACCGTGCAACACCTGGCATTCTGTACTGGCTTCGCCTACCTTGTCTTCCTTTTTTCCTAGAGGGGACACAACTTGAGTGCAGACTAGGGTCCCCTGTGCCAAGCATGAGGCCTAACAATAAAAGAGCTCAACGTTAGTTAATACAATACACCACTTAGGTCCTTTAGCTGCACTACTGATTCTAATGTATCCAGAATCTAACCCTCTTCACTGAGGCCTCTGAGAAGTCATTTTTGATGAAGACCCCCCCCATCCCCTTCAGCTCAATCCTTATCATTCACTTATTCTTTCCGATGCCTCTCTAGGCCAGACTTTGTCTTTTTGGTAAATAGAACAAGACCTATGTGCCGCCCTTGGAAGATACAGTTTCCATGTACTAGGAACTTGAAGAGACATATTATGTGTAAGTAGGGCATGTTCCAGTTGCCCTGGGTATACCAGGAAGCAAAGACCAAGTCTGAGGCAAGGCCAAGGGAGGATTTCACCAACGTGGTGACATTTATCAGGGTCTCTAAGGATGGGGGAGGGTGTAGTTGCCAAAGAAAATTAAAAATACAGTGAGGTCCTGGCTCCCCAAAGCCGAGTGACTGAAGATCAAGTTGGTAAGGTTTAAGCTGGGGCCCTCCCAGAGGTGACTGTGGGCCAGCCCTGTGATGTCTGGGAAGGAAATTGAGGAACGGAAACTGAAGGTCAAACCGCAGCGCCGAAGTCGCAGACAGAGTTCACATGACTGTGGGTTTCTAGAAAGAGGAATGAGTGAGGAGAAGGGTTCCCTCACCGGACACCATGGGTGGTCGGTGAGGATGAAGGTATATTCTCCAGCAGTGGTGTCTCTTGTCCTTCTTCATCACGCACACTGCCACCCCTTCCCTGGAGGCCAGAGGCCATCTCCTGCAGAAACCTGTCCGCTTGAGAACAGGACACAGCACTGCTCTCTCGCCAGCTTCCCCGCGGGTTGTCCGGGTAACCCGTCAAACCTAATTCTGTCGGATGACGAGGGGCTGGTTGGCCTGATGTCCCAGTACCTCTTTATTGCTCAACCAGCTCCTTGTCAGTCGGGAATGCTCACCTGGGGATCAGACATGCCTAGGTGGGGCTGTAGCCCCGCAGCACTCTTTCCTGCTGCTGTTGAGGTGGAGGGGTCCAGCCCAGGTGAGGGTGCATGGATGTGGGTCCAGTCTCTTAGCCTGACTCTTAGCTCACAATCCCGAGGTCAGGGGAGGGGCTGAGTAGTCTTAGTGCAGAGGCACCAGTTCCTCAATTTACGGATCTTGCTGTGGGCCGCTAGGGGCGGGGCATGGCGGACTCTCAGTGGGAGGGGTCTGCTTTCTTCATCCGCTGGATAAAACCATCATTCACTGAGGGCTTCCGCTTAGTGCGGAGACCCCGCTGGTTGAGAGCCTGGGATTGGAGGTGGGCTGGGAATGAGTTGAAGGACTATAAAAAGCAGGCTGGGATCCACATCATAAAGAGCCCCTTGAGTGCCAGCTCCGAGCAGGTATGGCCTTTCATAGGACTGGTTCTTTGTACCTACGAGGCGGTGTAGACATGTAATAACATTTCTAAGAGGGATGAGGACCTGAGGAACTGGGACCCAAGAATGAAGACAATGTTTTTAGGTCAGGTTCCTTCGGAAAGGTGGTTCTGGTAGACACTAAAGAAAGGAGGTAGTAAGACGGAAGCTATATCAGGGAATGGGGAGGCAGCCAGTATGGGAGGAACCCTAAGAGTGTGAAGAAGGCCCTGAACAAAGACAGAAGCCTTCCAGTTTCTGAATTCAACAGTTAGTGTGCCACAGAAAGAAAATTTTGGTTTTCAAGACAGGGTTTCTCTGTGTAGCCCTGGCTTTCCTGAATCTCAGTCTGTAGACCAGGCTGGCCTCTAATTCAGGGAACCACCTTTCTCCGCCTCCCAGGTGCTGGGACAGAACCCTTTTGTTTCATTTTTGTTCGTTTTTTGTTTTTGTTTTAAGACACTGTCTCACACTGTAGACAAGGTTAACCTGAAACTACATAGCTGAGGCTAGCCTTGTACTCATGTGATCCTCCTGCCGCAGTCTCCCAAGTACTGAGATTACAGGTGTGAGACACTCAGACTTGGAAAGAAACAAAGTTGGACAATGTTCTAAGTAGGGTCCACCCTTACCTGTCCCACATCCACTCCACACTAAGGATAAAGTACACCAGCAGGAGTATCCAGAGCCCAGAGAATATGCAATAGAAAGGGTGGGGCTAAGAGGCCATGTGACACAACAATCAGCAAGGGAGAGAGGACCTGAGCCCAGAGGCCATTGGGCAGACCCTGGGCTGGAGGACATCCAGGGTATCTCCTTGGGTCTTAGACTGGTCCTGCCAGTCAAGGAAATGGTGGATCAACTATTGGATTTACTGTCAGCTCCACCCAACCCCACCTGGGTTGGGGATTGTAGGTTTATTATAAGCACTTGCTCAGTGTGTTCGAAGGCCCTAGACTTAATCCCTAGCACCTAACATTAAAATAAGAACTTGCAGAGCTGAGACCAGAAAAGAATCTGACACTAGAATCAGACCTGGGTGTCTCTAAACTAAAACAAGCAGGAGTCGGGGTTGGGAGGGTGGAGGGCTGGCAAGATTGTGCTACAAGTACAGTCAATACCACTGCCCTCTGTGGTCTCTGTGGAGGGTCACACGGAGCCTGGGGATGTTTTGAAACAGATGTTGGGATACTGCTAGCGATAAAGGATGCTGCTGGTGGTCTCTGTGGAAACACTCAGGGTGGGGAAGGAAGCAAGGGGACCCACCAGGAAACTACTGCCTTAGGCTAGATACGTAGATGGCTTGGACCAAGGGAAAAGGGTGAAGGAATGAGAGGGGGTCAGATGTGGGGATTATTTTAAAAGCAGAGCTGAGGGGCTGGAGAGATGGCTCAGTGGTTAAGAGCACTGACTGCTCTTCCAGAGGACCTGGGTTCAATTCCCAGCACCCACATGGCAGCTCACAGCTGTCTGAAGATCCAGTTGCAGGGGATCTGACACCTTCACACCAATGCACATAAAATAAAGTTAAATAAACCATAAAAAATATTAATAAATAAATAAATAAATAAATAAAAGCAGAGCTGATTGGCATGCGGAGAGCAAGTGGCATAAAGGATAGCGTAGCTTTTGTGAACTAAATAATGTGAGATAGGTGACCATGGGAACGCCGAGGATGTGAAAGGCTTCGGGGTAAACTGAGAGTTCCTGTGGACACACATTAAGTTTGTAATGACTGAGTCAAGAAGAGAGGTCAAGTATAGCAGCAGGACAAATGTGCATGAACAGAACAGATCGGAGCTTGGAACGTGTGAGCTGGCAGCTTAAGGGCGGTAAGGTATGGGAATGGGTTAGAGCATGCAGGAGGGAGAAAGTGCCAAGAACCTGGCCCAGAGGAAGTTTGGATTCAGAAATAGTAAAGTAGAAGAGATCAGGATAAGACATTATTCCAAATATAGATGAGGACAAGTACCTTTGTGGGAGCCCCAGCCTCAGTGCCCCTTCCCAGGTACCCCCAGCTCATTTCTACCTGGATGGGTTCTGACACACTTTCAAGCAGTGAGCGACCCCACTGAATCAAATGTTTACAACCATCCAAGTCCAATTTCTCCAGGCACTCTAAGCACCAGCTCCTTACGAAACAAACTTACCTTCAGCACACATGGTGAATGCCAGAGACATGGGTTCAGCTGTTTATGCATAGTATAATGTTAGGGAAGTTACTTCTCTGGCCATGGCTAAGCTCCTCTACATGCCGAACACTGAACACTGAGCGAGCGGTTCCCACGTTAGCTCACACTTTCATCGTGCTTTGATTTGATTTTGGAGACTGAGTGAATGTACATTCTCAGAAAGGTTCCACCTTGTTGGGTTTTTTTGGGGGGAGGGGTGCAGCTGGGACCCACCAACTAGGCTAGGCTCGTCAGTGAACTCCATCCTGCCAGCACTGAGATTACAAGCATGTGCGACCACGCCCAGATTTTTTAAATTCAATTTTATGTGCACTGGTGTTTTGCCTGCATGACAGGGTGTCAGATCCCCTAGAACTGGAGCTACAGACAGTTGTGAGCTGCCATGTGGGTGCTGGGAATTGAACCTGGGTCCTCTGGAAGAGCAGCCAGTGCTCTTAACTACCAAACCATCACTCCATCCCCCATGCCCAGATTTTTTAATGTGTATGCTGAGGATCAAACTCAGGTCCTCTTTATGCAACAACTATTTTATTACCTATCTCCCCAGTTCCCCATACACCTTTTTTCACTTCTTTAAAACAGAAGCTTCCGGGCTGGAGAGATGGCTCAGTGGTTAAGAGCACTGTCTGCTCTTCCAAAGGTCCTGAGTTCAATTCCCAGCAACCACATGGTAGCTGACAACCATCTGTAATGAGGTCTGGTGCCCTCTTCTGATCTGCAGGCATACACGCAGAAAGAATATTGTATACATAATAAATAAATTTAAAAAAAACAACAGACGCTCCCTTGCTGTTGTGCAAACTAGTCTGAAACTGGCATTGAGACCCCTGCCTCAGCCTTCTAGGCTCTGAGAGTGCAGGTGTGTACTAGAGACGTGCATGCATCCCACACTGGCCAAACTCCTTGTGTACGTCACCTCTGTAGAGCTCGAAAACATTACTGGGGTAAACATGACCGAGGTGGTTATGACTGTGGTTATGACTGGACTCAAAGCAAACACAGCTTTGTTTAACCCTGACCTCATCACTGCCATCTGAATGGCCATGAGCCATGTTCTCAACTGGAAATGCTCCTGCTCAGACCTCCTGGGTGTTGGGCCACATGAAGATTAAATCAGATAAAGGGAACATCTGATAGAACCAAAGTTCCCTAGACAGCATCATCTCTTCATCTATGGCTAGTATCATCCATGTTTGGGGAACAAGTAATGCCTTGAGAACGTAAATACACAAGGCCTCCTTCCAGACCCCTGGGGTGGAGAGGAGCTCAGTCAATGGTTATAACCAGTGAGCCTGGGCAGAGTCAGCAAGGAAGATTCTTGAAGCAAATACAGATCACTATTTATGCTAGAAAAGATCAGAATATCTGTAACACGGTCCCAGATGTTAGCACAACTGACTCCATGATGGAAGTGCCATTCAGGCTGTAAAACATGTAGACAGCAGCACCATCTGTCAAGATGAAAACAAAGACCTAATCCATCAAAGTCCATAGTTCTGGGAAAGTCTTGAAACACACTAACCTTCCTTTTTGGCTTCTGCAGCTCTGCTTCTGATTTGACTATGCTTGCTAACTGATGTCAACCCAGGACATGGATTTTGTGCTCGAAAGGTCACCCAGAGAAAGGCTTGAGGCTACACTGGGACCCTGAACACCCAGTGTAGTCACCAGCAGCTAATAAGACTTTCTATTGTCCAAGCAGTCTTCTCTGGTGAATACCCCACGTCTTTCTCTTTCACATTTTGTTGAGTGGATCAACACACTTGAGCCAGAAATTCAAGAACTGCAAAAGATCTCCTCCTCTCACGCATGTCCTCACATTTTATTAGCTAACAAGGTAGCAGTCTATCCCACTTCAACATGCTATGCATCATCACATCCGGCGGTGCTCACTCTAAGTCACACCACTGTTGTGTAGCTCTAAGGGGGAAAAGTCAAAACCAAACAAGGACTAGGAGAGATGGCTCAGTGGGTGGCGAGTCCGTGCTGCTCTTGCAGAGAAAAGACTGATATCTCTGGCCTCTGTGAGTACCTGCATATGTGCCCAGATCTCCTGGTTCCCCCCCCCCCACAAAAAAAAAAAAAAAAAAAAAACAAAGTGACAGACCACTGACTTCTAGGAGCACTCAAATTCCAGATATATGAACACAGAGGAATTAATTCCACTGTGCAACTGCCACAATCTGGCACCTCACACTCCAGGGGTGCGAGCTCAGTCCAGACCCTCATTGGTTCCTGTGGGATGAGGGAATGAAAGCTCTTCACGCCCTTCCCTCCAATCATCCCCTGCTTCTTCGAGTCCAGTAGTACAGACCTTGGTTCCCGTCCCATCGCCTCAGCCAGCGTTCACTTCAGTTGCTGTACTTCCAAAGCGGCCAGGCTGCCATCAACACCCTTCGTGTTATTTTGGCACTGACCTCTTTAGTTAGAATTTTCTAGCCAGGACAGTCTTACCACACCCCTTGTAAAGACCAGGATGACTTCGCTTGATGAGGTTAAAAGCAGATCCAATAAATTCCGCCCAAAAAGAACCTTTCCTAAGTCCCGAAAGACAAGCCTCCTAAACACTGGACGTCTTCCTGTATTCTACAATGGCCTATGCATACCTCCACTAAGTCCTTGTACCACGCTGTAATTGCTAACCTGCTTGTTCCCCTAGCAGACTGTGTGCTTCTTTGAAACGGGGCCCTGTGCTGAGATAATCCTCTAGAACCTGGAAATGAGAAGGCACTTGGTGCTTAGGAAATCACCAAGACAGAGGAAGGAGTGCTGACGGAGAGTGGCTGCTGCATACACTCACTGGGTCCTAATCCCCCATTCATCAATAGCCATCCCTCAGCCAGGCAATCAGATTAGCCAGGTAAGAGCACTGGCACTACCTGGTGGTCAAAATGGGAAGTACATCTTCTTGGACAGAAAAGTTTCTCTTTGGAAACCATTGATTTCCAGGCGCAGCTCACTGTTAGAAATATCAAAAGTGAGAGAAATCTACATTTTCAGTGATTCAGCCTGATACTGCATGCCAAAGGAACTGAGAAACATAGAGGGAACCGGAATGTAGCCAGGAGGTTATTCTGCCAATGCTGATGTTGAGTCCAGATCCGTGGTATCAACACCATCCAACCACAAATGCCTTTTACCCCAAACCAGTTACTTTTTCTGTCTCAACACTGATCTCTGCCTTCTGATCTCCATGCTCTTGTGCAATGCTTTCCCTTGAATGTAGGTCGGCCTAGAGACTGGCGAAGATGTCATTTCTGTGGTGCGACTCCACAGGCTGGAACCTCCGTCCTGCTAGTGAGCTCCCATCCTTTCTGATGCAGTCCACCTGTCTGCCGGGACTCCTGTGGTAAGAAGCTCAGGAAGACCCCTACCTAACCATCAGCAGGTAGCCTAGCAATCTCCAAGGAATCAAAATTACGAGAGCTTGGAAGCGGATAGTAAGGCCCTGAGAATCCAGCACTAGCCAAAAACCTAACTACAGCCTTGCAGTACCAAAGAAACCCTGAGGCTGAAGACAGTGAAGCCATGAGTAGGTGAGTGTCGCCGTAAACCACTAGACCTGCGACAATGCTTACTTCCCTACGAACCATGCACTACTCAAAACCATCATTACCACCAGGTCAGAACCTCCTCTAGACCTGGGCAACGTTCCGGAGTCAGGATCCAAAACACCCCAGTAAAGTCTACCAGGTCTGCAGCTTCCCAGCGAGGGGCTTTCCGCAGCTCACACAAGACAGTTCTGTGTGAACTGAATGGCCATGTTCCTTGCTAGATCTTGGCTTCTTGTGCTAGGCATGGGCCACTTCTAGCTCACAAGGTGCATTGTTCATAAGGGAAGCCATGAACAACAAGACACAGTGTATACCTGAAGTTGGGCTTGTGGGCTTCAGCACATACCCCTCATGGTTTTTGGTTTTTTTTTTTTGATTATTTATTTATACAGTATCCTGCCTGTAGGCCAGAAGAGGGCACCAGATCTCATTATAGGTGGTTGTGAGCCACCATGTGGTTGCTGGGAATTGAACTCAGGACCTCTGGAAGAGCAGTCAGTGCTCTTAACCACTGAGCCATCTCTCCAGCCCACCTCCCTCATGTTCTTTATGAACACATTACAATAGCCTACACAGCAATGAAGAAGCAGTCACTCTGCATATGCTATAAATTTAGCTAACTCAGCCAAACAAATAGGAAACAAAGTAGAACCTAAAAAAATCCACTCAAAAGAGTTTTGGGCAGGGGCTGGAGAGATGGCTCAGTGGTTAAGAGCACTGCCTGCTCTTCCAAAGGTCCTGAGTTCAATTCCCGGCAACCCATGGTGGCTCACAACCATCTGTAATGAGGTCTGGTGCCCTCTTCTGGCCTGCAGACATTCACACAGAATATTGTATACATAATAAATAAATATTTTTTAAAAAAAAAAAAAAAAGAGGAGTTTTGGGCATAAAAGGCCCCATTCGGTACTGCTTGTCTGCAGTACTAGAGATGGAACCAGAGCCTCATGCATGCTGTGTGAACACACTAACATTAAGCTACATCCCCAGTCCCTCTACAGTTCATGACTTATTCAGTAAGCAATAAAAATGAGTTTCAATCAGTGTTAACGTGTTAGGTGTGATAGCTCAGTCCACTAGGGAGGCTAAGGCAGGATTATCACATTGATCAAGGCCAGCCTGTGCTAGTCAGCTGCAGGCTAACCTGGGCTACAGAAAAACCTCTAAACACATAATCCCAGTCAACCCACAATCTGTGGACAGGTCAGTCATTCTTCTTGTTTTCACCTGCACTGCTCTACTCTCTTCCACAGTCTCTTTTGGAAAAGATTTTACATGTATGTATATGTATATCTGGGTGTCTACATAGCTCATGGAAATCAAAAGTGTGATGAGGTCTCCTGGAGTTACAGGTGGGCCAGGCAGTGTTGGTGCATACCTTTAATCCCAGCACTCAGGAGGCAGAGGCAGGCGGGACTCTGTGGCCAGCCTGGTCTACAGAGCGTGTTCCAGGATTCTAGGATAGGCTCCATAGTTGCTGAGAAACCCTCTCTCGAAAAAAAAAGAGTTATAGGTACTTGTGGGCTGCCCGACATGGGTGCTCGGAATAGAGCTCGGGCCCTCTAGCAGAGCAGCAAGCACCCTAAACTGCTGACCCCCTCTCCAGCCCTTCCACACTCTATCTTAGAAATGCCATTTGATGGGTTTGTCCTGTGGTGTGCTGAGCTCAGGCAGTGGGCTCAGACAATAGCAGCAGCCTTTGCCACCTCCTCCAGCTCTAAGCTTCTGCTAGGTTTAGGATGACTGCCTCAGGCTCCAGTCACTCACTAGGCAGGGAGGGCAGAAGGGCGAACCAGGACGCTATGAGGCCTGAAACTCTAGAATCAGCACTCTCACCAGCCATGCCAAGTTGTCTGTTTCTTTTTATCCTCCGTAGGCAACACTGCAATTCCTGAATCAACCTTAAATTGGCACAGCACGTACGTAGACAGCTTCAATACCAACCTGACACAAAAGACAGGAAAATGACCCACCATCTTGTTGTAGGAAGAGGGCTCTTCCTTCCCCAGTGCTGAGGTGAAGGAGAGCATTAGCTAATCCTCTGAAACCGAGTGACTGGGCATCAGTGGGCCCAGGAAGATCCCACAAGAGTTCAGCGACTCCTTACCCTCCCAACTGACAGCAAACAGTGTCTACATCCACCAGGCTCTCCTTCCAAGAAGTTCATGATTCACCCCAAAACCCAAAGTCCTCATGAGCCTCCCACACACACACAAGGAAGAGAATGCAGACAAGGAGATGGTTGGTGGTGGTCAGGCCTTGTCTCAATGAGTTAGTCCCTGGAAGTTGGGTTCAGTGCATGGGGGCAAGGCCATGGGCTGGTTCAGCAGCTTGTCCATCATGGCAATTTTAGCATCTTGCTTCTCAATGTCTTCGTATGGAGTCCACGACAAGTCATGCTGCAGCTTGTAGGCACCAAGGAAGTCATGTGGACGGCCTGCTCCCCATTCCTAGAGGGCAAAGGAGCAAGTCCTCATTAGGATGAGAAGTGAACAGGGCTCTTTCTCTACACAGACTTCTTTTTATGCTTTTCACTTCAGACTATTCAAACCATCACTGGAAGTCATATTACACAACAGAAATAACGAATATCATCAGGTGGTGGTGGCGTATGCCTTTAATCCCAGCCCTTGGGGGACAGAGCCAGGCAGATAGATCCCTGTGAGTTTGAGGCAAGTCTGGTCTACCAGGAAAGCCAGGACTGTTACACAGAAAAACCCTGTCTTGAAAAACAAAAACAAAGAAAAAAGGAAAGAATATCATTCAAGCACCCACACAACTTTTCATCATACCTGGGCTCACATCACCTCACTTTCTAGGAAACCACTGCCCAAGCTGCAGGCTACATTTTCATACAAACATACCCAGCATTTCTCAAAGGCTGGACTGGCCTAGAGTTAAGAATGAATGTTCTTACCTCTGGAGAAATGATGGAAAAGTACTGCTGGCCACTTTCCCGCTGGTAAAGATAGTAAATGCTGCCAGGTTTTTTCACCATGTTACAAGCCACGTGGTGCAAGTCAGCATCTCTGCGAGCATCTTCCAGTACCTGCCAGCCACACAGGTAAGGCAGGTGATGAGTCAGAGGTACCCAGCCTCACCCACATCACCCTAACCAAAGCACTAACTCCAAGCTTGCAGTCTGGTTCCCCAGCAGCAATGGTTCACTACTGGGGTGCAGACGGTTTGAAGAGTGGAGGCTACACAAGCTGCGGTGCTGGGTAAGCTGTTAGAGGGGGAGATGTTTAAATGCTGGTGCGGCTGACTTGGGGGATTCTAAGTTCTTCTTTTCCTGGGTCAAGTACATTTCTTTTTCTTTTCTTTTCTTTTTTTTTTTTTTTTTTAAGTACATTTCTTAAGAAACTCTTCCTTTCGGGCTGGAGAGATGGCTCAGTGGTTAAGAGCATTGCCTGCTCTTCCAAAGGTCCTGAGTTCAATTCCCAGCAACCACATGGTGGCTCACAACCATCTGAAATGAGGTCTGGTGCCCTCTTCTGGCCTGTAGGCACACATGTAGACAGAATATTGTATACATAATAAATAAATAAATATTAAAAAAAAAAAACGAAACTCTTCCTCCTTTAAAAAGCTCTGTCTTACCTTTCTCCTGGATAGGAAACAAAACTCACTTCTGCTTAACTTCTGTTATGGTTCAGATGTCATTTGTCTCCTAAAGGATGCTAGGAGCCTGGCCACCAGCACAGTGACATAAGAGGGAGGGCACTGCCCTCAGAAGGGAATTCTGGGGAGAGTGACGTGAAGACACAAACCAGAACTCGATGTTGTAAAAGTCAGGGCCTGACGTCTGAATCTGTAGCCCTGTTTCAAGATGTGTCTGTTCTCCCACACATGTTCTGCTGTGACTAGATGTGACCCCGAGAGTTCTCCCCAGAGCTGAGCTACACCAGCACCATGTCCCTCGAACCTCTAAATGTATGTACAAAATAAACATCATTATAGGGCTAACCTGCTCCAGGTATTTCATCATAGCAACACGAAATAAACTAACGAAACCTCTTGGACATATTTCTGACATTTAATCAAAAGGTCTACATGTTCAGAATGTACGAAAAACAAAGAAGGCACCATGATTATAAATTGGACTTACCCTCCCAAGCAAAGGAAAAGAAAAGCCTGCCTAACCTGCACTGGCCTTTCTCACCTTCCTAGCTTGTTCTTGCAAGTGTTGGATTTGCTCAGCAATGACTGTCAGCTTGTTAGTAGCATTTGCTCGGATGAATTCATCAGCCTACAAAGGAAAGAAATCACACTGTAGGGTGAAAAGGTCAGTGTCACCTGTGGTCACATCAAGATGCAATTCAAGAACTTATGCCAAAGCTTCTGCTTCTACCTAAAGTGTTCTTCTTATTCCATTGCCATGTAAATTCCCACCCACCCTAGAGCCCAACTCAGGAGAAGCCCACACTGTAATGATCCCACACCCTTCATCTATCTCCACTACCATTCACTCTCAGCTCTATTCACAAGGTTTTGGTGCTTCCACATCCTCACCTCCTGCCACCAAACATGAGCACATCCTCCATCTAATGATCACTCCCTTTCCTCTCTGCACGACTAAACCCATTTCTCAGGCCCCTTGTTTGGTTTTGCTTTCCCACTGTGGAGTCCAGGCTGTTATGTGATGTGGGATTCCTTATATATGTGCTGCTTTATTGGTTGATGAATAAAGCTGTTTTGACCAATGGCTTAGCAGAGTAAAGCCAGGCAGGAAATCCAAACAGAGATAAAGAGAGAGAGTAGGTGGAGTCAAAGAGAGGCCATGTAGCTGCTGAAGGAGACAGACACCCAGAACCTTTACCAGTAAGCCACAGCCTTGTGGCAATACACAGATTAATAGAAATGGGTTAATTCAAGATGTAAGAGCTAGCTAGAAATATGCCTGAGCCATTGGCCAAGCAGTGTTGTAATTAATATAGTTTCTGTGTGGTTATTCGGGTCTGGAAGGCTGGAAATGAAAGACCAGTCTCCTACTAGTTATGGAACTCACTAATGAACCCAGGCTGGCTCAAGCTTGCAACCGTTCTGCTTCTTCTTCCCAAGTATGAAGATTATTGATGTGCACCACCACACTCAACCCATTTGTTTTAAATGTTTGAACACTTTTTGTTTTTTGTTTTTTGTTTTTTGAGATAGGGTTTCTCTGTAGCTTTGGAGACTGTCCTGGAACTAGCTTTTGTAGAACAGGCTGATCTCAAACTCACAGAGATCTGTCTGCCTCTGCCTCCCAAGTGCTGGGATTAAAGGCATGCGTCACCACCACCCGGCTCAAATAAAGGTTTTTTTGTTTGTTTGTTTGTTTTTCAAGACAGGGCTTCTCTGTAGCTTTGGAGCCTGTCCTAGAACTCGCTTTGAAGACTAGGCTGGATTCACACTCACAGAGATCCACCTGCCTCTGCCTCTCAAGTGCTGGGATTAAAGGCATGTGCCACCACTGCTGGTTCAATGTTTGAACATTTTTAAAATTAAAAAAAAAATGAGTTTTACAATGAAAATCAAGCCAGATGTGGTGGCACATGCCTTTCATCCCAGCACTCAGAGGGCAGAGGCAAGTGGAGCTCTGTGAGTTGGAAGCCAGCCTGGTCTACAGCCAGGGCTACATACTGAGATTGTGTCTCAAACAAACAGCAAGAAAAAATCAAAAGATGCTTGTGATGGACTCTGACCATCACCTCTGTTGGATCACCTACATCATACTACCTAGAACTTCAGCACATACACATAATAAATTTAAAAAGGGAAAGGGCAGCAACAGATGGTCTTACAGCTCATGGGGAGAGATGCACTTTGTTCTTTTTTTTTTTTTTTTTAATATTTATTTATTATGCATACAATAGTCTGTCTGTGTGTATACCCGCAGGCCAGAAGAGGGCACCAGACCCCATTATGAGATGGTTGTGAGCCACCATGTGGTTGCTGGGAATTGAACTCAGGACCTTTGGAAGAACAGGCAATGCTCTTAACCTCTGAGCCATCTCTCCAGCCCCCGCACTTTGTTCTTAAGACAAGAAAATCCATACGGCTAACGAAGAGGGAAGCTGCCTCCATATGTAAGGCAGGTTCAGAATGGGGCAACCTCATAATCAACCCCCTTTTCTTTAAAGGGGTATTTTTAGCATAGCAGTGGTGGTACACACCTTTAATCTCAGCACTCGGGAGGCAGAGACAGGTGGATCTCTGTGAGTTCAAGGCCAACCTGGTCTACAGAGTGAGTTCCAGGACAGGTTCCAAAGTACAGAGAAACCCTGTCTTGAAAACAAAAAAAAACAAAAATAAATTTATTTTTTATATACAAATGTTTACATGCATGTATATATGTGCACCATGTGCTTGCTTGGTGCCTGAGGAAGCCAAACAGTATCAGGGCCTATGGAACTAGAGTTGTAGAGATATAAACCATCTTTATGGGAATGGGTACTGAACCCAGGTCCTCTGCAAGAGCAGCAAGTCTCAAAACATAAACAAACAAGATGGCTGGGCCATCTCTCTAATCCCCCTTTTCCTTTTAAGGTGGCAGCATGTAAACTAGAACCTAACTAAAGAGAAATGAAGAGTATTTTTTTAACTTTTATTAATTATATGTGTGGTGGTTTCAAAGAAAATGGCCCCCAAAGGATATGGCACTACTAGAATGTGCAGCCTTGTTGGAGGAAGTGTGTCACTGTATGGGGAGGCTTTGAGGTCTCCTATACTCAAGCTACACCCAGTGTGGAACACAGTTCACTTCCTGCTGCCTGCAGATCAAGATATAGAATTCTCAGCTCTTTCTCCAGCACCATGTCTGCCTGCATGCCACCATATCCCACCATAATGATAATGGACTAAACTCTGAAACTGTAAGCTACCTCAATTAAATGTTTTCCTTTATAAAAGTCACTGTGGTCATGGTGTGTTTCAGCAACTGAAACCAGCTGAACTTTGCACCTTCAGCTACGTGGTTCTGGCTTTAGAGTCAAGGACAGAAGAAGGATTATGGAGCCTCCCCCCATGACTAAGGAAAGCCACTGAGGCCAGGCATGGGTATCCCTGCATGGAGGCCCAGAGAGGCCACTCATGAAGATGTGAAAGTGAAGCCTGGATTTTGTTGGAGACCCCAAGATGTTGGAGATGCCAGAGAACTATGCTATACCCGCCAAGAAAAGCTGTTAACAGCGAGTGGAACCAGCCCAAGAGAGAAAAATGTGTTGCAATCAACAAAACTGGAAGGAATTGGAGATCTGGAAAGTTTTGACATCAGACATGGAGATGCAGAGTTTTGAGTTTGTCCAGCTAGTTTTCGGTCTTGCTTTGGTCTCGTATTTCCTCACTATGCGCCCTTCACTATGTTTTGGAATAATAATGTATATCCTGTGCCATTATAAGTTGAAAGTATGTTATCTGCATTTCTATTTTGATTTTACAGGGGATTACAGTTAAGAGATTACACGAATCTCAGAAGAGACTTTGAACTTTAGACATTTAAATAAGTTTGAGACTGTTACAGGTGATAGAGACTTTTCAAGTGAGACTGATTTTTGCATTATGATATGGCTAAAAGCCTTTGGGAGAGAGGGAGTGGAATGCAGTAATTTTAAAGAAAATGGCTCCTACAGGGAGTGGCTCTATTAAGAGGTAGCTTTGTTGAGGTAGGTATGGCCTTGTTAGAGGAAGTGTGTCACTGTGGAGGTAAGCTCTGAGATATCAAATGCTCAAGATACACCCAGTGTCTCAGTTCACTTCCTGTTGCCAGCCTATCAAGATGCAGGACTCTCAGCTCCAGGACCATGACTTCCTGCATGGCACCATGTCCCACCAAGATGATAATGGACTAAACCCCTGAAGCTCTAAGTCCCCCCTCAGCCCATTAAATGTTTTCCTTTATAAAAGTTGTTGCGGTCACGGTGTCTCTTCACAGAAATTGAAACCCTAACTAAGACAGTATGAGTATATAAGTGTTTTACCTGTATATGTGCACTGTGTGTGCCTGGCACCTGAAGAATTCAGAAGAGGGCACTCAGTCCCCTGGAACTGGAGTAATGAATGGCTGTGAGCCACCAGGTAGGTTCTAGAAACCAAACATGTGTCCTCTGCAAGAACAAGTACTCTTAACCCCGGAGCATCTCTCCAGTCTCAAAGGTACTTACAATTGCTAAGCACTGATCCTGTACCTAACCAGTCCAAGAACCTCTATTAATAATGACATCTAGCTCTCTAGATATGATAACCTTACTTAGGCATTAAGACTCAGGTGTAGCAACTGAGGTTTTACAATTAATAAATGGCAGTTGAGGGATCCGAACACAGATGAGTCTAATTCCAAAATCCATGCCTCAATACCAAATCTCCCAAAGCTTTCTGAACACATATTAAGGGAGCCATGAGCCAGTCCTCTTAGCAAGTGCATTTCATATGTTGATTCACTTAGCCTTAGATCTTTTTATTGTATGGGTATATGTGTCTGCCTGCATGCATGTAGGAGCATCATGTTCAAGCAATGTCCACAGTGGTCAGAAAGGGCATCTGATCCCCTGGGACTGGAGTTACAAATGATTGTGAGTTGTAATGTGGGTGCTAATAACAGAACCTGGGTCCTTTCTAAGATCAGTCAGTGCTCTTAACCACTGAGCCATCTTTCCAACTCTCAATTTGTTTGTATAGCATCTTTTGCTTCAGTTTCTCCAAGATGAATTGGTTACACTGGAGAATTGGAGGCAACATAATAATATAACCTTTATATTTCACTAGGTTATGGTATAAAAGACAAAAACTGCATTCCTTCTTTCTTTGGCTGAGACTGTGATTATCACTCAGAGAAACTCAAAGTACTGTTTGCCCAAGATTTTGAACCTTGCTACTTCCCTCTCAATAGCAATTTGACTAAATAGACACATGATAGTCTTCTAATCCACAAAAGTTCTATTTTGTTCCCATTTCTATTTTTTTTAAAAAAAGTAAGGTTTTAATTAAAGAGGCTTTCCTAAACATTTGAAGTTTTCTTAAATAAAACAGCAGACATAGCTTTTTATATGAGGGATTTGGTCACATTATCATTAATTTTCTTTTTTTTCTTTTTTAAAAATTATTTATTTATAACAAAAAAAGAAAAAATATTTATTTATTATGTATACAATATTCTGTCTGTGTGTATGCCCACAGGCCAAAAGAGGGCACCAGACCCCATTATAGATGGTTGTGAGCCACCATGTGGTTGCTGGGAATTGAACTCAGGACCTTTGGAAGAGCAGGCAATGCTCTTAACCACTGAGCCATCTCTCCAGCCCCATTAATTTTCTTGACCAAAGCAATCTTTTGAACATGATCATTGCCAATAAGCTAGTTTACACAAGAGGGAGGGGACACTAGAAGCTTTTAAAGTAGTCAGACTCTGGTACTGAAAAGAATTCTACAGCTGGAAGTCTTGCTAAGAAGAGAAGGACCTAGGGGCTCTCCCACCTCAAATGTTTCATTTTACAGACCCTGAGCTCCAGAGAGAAGCAACCCATCCAAAGCTAATGTGCCCAAACTTCTATTGCCTTTTCCATTATTCTACTTATTATGGGAACTGATGTCTAAGTTCTGGACATGGGAATACTGAACCCATTGAAATTCATCAGGTGTGGCAGCCCCTGTTAATACCCAGCCTGGGAGGCTGAATAGGAAGCCAGCCTGGGCTATCCAGCAAGATGAAACTGTCTCCAGTTGTTGTTTTCATTGAAAATGAGAATTTTATCCTGTCCCTTTTTACATGTGTTTTTGGTGGCGCTGAGGATCAAATTCAGCCTAGGCAAGGGGTGTAACCATTAAACTACACCCCCTGCACCAATTTTTTGTTTAAAAGGAAATAGCATATATTTCTTCCACAACGTCTTAGGTAGCAGATAAAGACTCTACGGGAAGCAGCATAAAATAATTAACTATTCAAGTATATGGGATGGAAGACGAGCTTGCTGGCACACACCTTTAATCCCAGAACTCAGGAAGCAGAGGCAGTTGGAACAACTGAGTTGGAAACCAGACCAGTCTAATAGTGAGTTCCATGATAATCCTGTATCAAAAACAAACAACAAGAAAGAACTGGAGATAGAGTGATCCTCCTCGTGTGTGAAATGGGATGGTAGTACTGCCGAGCTCACAGGCTGTCCCAGGACGCAGATGAAATTTTAGGTCGGAGCCCAAAGAGGCAGGGTTTAAAGTACGGAGATGGCTATTCCTCACCTTTTGCACCTGCTCGGCGAGCGCCACGAGGTCTAAAGGATCCCCGACCCGGTTGGTGTGGTAGGGGCTCACCAGAGCCAGGCCGCCGGGGGTCGGGGTGAGCTCCACCAGGGCTCCTGCGACACACACCCGGGAACACGGGCATAAGTTGTAGCCCTCAGCCTCCCGCGAGGCAGCAGAGATGAGCCGCCCGGCTACGACCTCGTCCCTCGGCCAACTCAGCCCCACCTACCTCCAGGACCCGCCGCCTCCTGTACCCCTAGATTTCCAGTGCCTCTTTCCAACCGGCCGGGTGCCTCCGGGTCCGCCATGACAGCACTTCGGCCCCACAGCCCACGGGGGAAATGAAGCGCAGGCGCACAAGAGTTTGTGGGCGGGGCTTTCTCATTCGCAAGCCATTGAACGGCGTGTCTGAGCTTGGAGGCGGAGCCCCGCGAAGAACGAATGTTCCGATTGGTTTAAAGCAAGAGGCGGTGCAAGCTTCCCGGCCACGGTCTCCGGGGCTTGAGGCGTGGCTCTCTCCGAGTGTGGCTTCTGTGGGGCGGGACTTTGGCTTGTGCCCGAGGCGAGCTGTCCCGTTAAGTGAAGGAGCCAGGCCATGGCGGTGAGCGCCAGGAGGCTGCTGGCCGCGCTGCTAGCCGTCGCCGCAGCTGCCGCGTCGCAGGCCGCGGAGGAATCTGAGCCTGGATGGGACGTGGCAGCCCCTGATCTGCTTTACGCAGAGGGGACCGCCGCCTACGCGCGCAGCGACTGGCCCGGGGTGGTCCTGAACATGGAGCGGGCATTGCGCTCGCGGGCCACCCTACGTGCCCTCCGCCTGCGCTGCCGCACACGCTGCGCGGCCGAGCTGCCGTGGGCGCCTGACCTCGATCTCGGCCCGGCCCCTAACCTGAGCCAGGACCTGGGCGCCGCCGCCCTGCGCGACCTGCGCTTCTTCGGGGCCCTGCTGCGCCGTGCCGCCTGTCTGCGACGCTGCCTCGGGCCGCCCGCTGCCCACTTACTGAGTGAGGAGCTGGACCTGGAATTCAACAAGAGGAGTCCCTACAACTACTTGCAAGTCGCCTACTTCAAGGTGCGACTAGCCCGGAGCCCATCGGCCCGGGGAGTCCTGGGGTTCTCGGGGAGCAGAACAGGGACGAGTCCGCAGGGAGGAAAGGGGCCTTTTGGATAGGGAGCTCTTGGCGGACTCAGGCCCCTTCATCCAGTTCTTATGGGCAGGCGCTAACCCTAAAGGTCTACCCCGTAGTGACAGCCCAAGCCCAGAAGAACCTGACCTTTCCTTCTGGTAAGGCCTCCTAGAGGGAACCGAGGCGACCGCTTGGGTCTCCCAGCCCTACTTCATTGCAAGTGGTCCAAGTGAGAAGCTAGGCGCTTCTGCAGCATCTTCCTTCCGGTTCTTTCTCCAATCATGCTTTTCCTGCTCCCGAATTCAAGAGCAGCGCCTTGAGGACGTGGGATTGCCACGTCGCCAGCATGGGCTGCCTGACTCTTCCCTGTGGAGGACCCTCTGGGTAGTATGTCAGTTTTTGGTTTTGTTGCTGTTTGTTTTTGTATTTGTGATTAAGGAAAATGACTGTCTTTAAGGATGCCGCAGCGCCTTAGGGCCAAGTCAACAAACGGGCTTGGAGCAGACTTGTCTGGCAGCGTGTATTTCCAGGACTCAGGGCACTTGGCGTTTTTTAACTGATTTGCCGTGAAGCAGCGTTTTTTGAATAGATTCTATTAGTCCCATTTGGGGGTGGGGGCTGCTCACACAGACTGTACATCTACAAAAACAGTTTGAGAGACCTTCGAGTCTCCCTAAAAGACTTAGAGGCTCTTGGGGACCTCAGATTTCTGCTTCTGCCCTCCATCCCTTCTGGTTATTGGAAGGAGAGCTGGACCTACAAGCCCCAAATGGTTGGGTTCTGACTTAGGTCATGGCACTTAAAAGCACTACTTAAAATTTATTGGCATTGACAATGACTGAACATCTGCTACATTCCGGTTCTTGGGCAGGTGATTAAAATAATTGGTTGACTCTTTTTCCTTGTGTACACTGCACTAAGGGCTAGCTAAAGTGGTTATGCAGATAGTTAGGGTTGTGGGAGCACAAAGGGGGGAAAAACTTCAGTTAAATTATGCTTGCCTGAGAGAAGAGGTGGCGTTGAAGATTGTCGCCCCGCCCCCGGTGAGGGGGAGAGGAGCATGTGCCATGGGGGCAGTTCACTGGGTGACTCCTGTGTGGGGGTGTATGTGGAGAACAGAAGTGACCACAAAGTTTAGGGAGGCTGAATTCAGAAGAACCTTCTGCACACTTGGGACAACCACCATCAGACTTAGCTTTCAGAAGGCTAATTCTGGAAGCCAGATGGATAGGATAGGTGGAAGGAGAAAGTGGGCAATGAAAAGAGGAGAAAGAACGCTTGTGCTGTAGCCCGCCAGAGTAGGCCAGGCGCCAGTGCCTAGAGGTGAAAAGGCTCCTAGGTGGGGTGGGTAAGGAGGAAGGCACCCGTCCTGGAACACTGGGCATGGTGGCCGTCCTCTGGTCCCAGCCCTTGGATCCTTACCACAGTGTAATTGTTCCTGGCCCTTTCTACCCTATTCCCAGATCGTTGGGGCTTTAGACTCTTTAGTCGCTACATTTCAATTGTTTGTTTGGAGACAAAGTTTCACCTGTCATCCCAGCCCTTGGGATCTGAGTCAGGGGGATCGAGAGTTTGAGGCTGACCTACAGCGCAACACCTCATGTTAGTAGACACACCCACAGAAAAACCAACCAGGCAAACGATGAAAACCCCACAGAGTTTGGATGGAAACTCGGTCTTTTACTTCATCCGTAGATAAACAAGCTAGAGAAAGCTGTGGCGGCAGCGCACACCTTCTTTGTGGGCAATCCTGAACACATGGAGATGCGGCAGAACCTTGACTATTACCAAACCATGTCTGGGGTAAAGGAAGAAGACTTCAAGGATCTCGAGGCCAAGCCCCATATGGTGAAAAGACACCCCTCACCCTGTGTGTGTGTGTGTGTGTGTGTGTGTGTGTGTGTGTGTGTGCACTCGCGGGCACACGCGTGGGTGTGTCAATGTCAGAGCTACTGTGTAGTCCTGGTGCTGTGTAGTGCAAGCTGGCCCCAAGTCTTTCATAATTAATTCTTTAACCTAATTTAATATTGTAGTCTATATATATTTCCAGCACCCTTTTTGACCTAACATTTGAGTAGCATTTTTTTAATATTTATTTATTTATTATGGATACAATATTCTGTCTGTGTGTATGCCTGCAGGCCAGAAGAGGGCACCAGACCCCATTACAGATGGTTGTGAGCCACCATGTGGTTGCTGGGAATTGAACTCAGGACCTTTGGAAGAACAGGCAATGCTCTTAACCTCTGAGCCATCTCTCCAGCCCTTGAGTAGCATTTTTATAAAGAACTTATGTTTTCTGTCATTTTAATAGTTTATAAATCAGAACATTAGAGAGCCTAGGGATATACTCGCTGATAGAACATGTAATTAGCATACACAAGGCTCTGGGTTTGTATGCCACAACAAAAAAAAATTTTTATATATATATAATATATATTATTCACATATACACATAAACATAAGAAACATTATCAGAATGACATCACACATACACAGTATACATGCTAAGAACTCCCCAGTTCCAGAATGACTTCTAAAAGTAAACTTGACACCTGTAATCCTAGTGCTGGTGAGATAGAGGAAATCAAATCAGGATTTCAATTAGTGGGTTTGATACCCACCTAAGATACAAGTTGTATGAGACGTTGCTTCAAGGGGGCTAGGAGTGGGTTGTGTTTTATTTTAGTGTGTGTGTGTGTGTGTGTGTGTGTATGAGAGAGAGAAAGAGAGAATTTATGTGGGTGCCTGAGGAGGCCGGAAGAAAATATCATAGGCTATTGATATGGAGCTGGAGTCATAGGCAGTTGCCAGCCACCCTGTGTGGGTGATGGGAACTAATCTCAAATCCTCTGAAAGTACATGTTGTTAATCACTGAACCATCTTTCTCTAGCCCGTTATCTGAAAACTATAGGCTCTACAGAAAAGTATAAGGATTACAGCAAACTCTGCCTTTCCCCTGAATTAAGAGTTCTGTGTGTATATTCAAAGGTATCGGGAAGCCCTTTTACTCACAGCTTTCTTTATGTAGCGGCACCATACTCCCCCTTTCCGTCCACAGTTTAGAAGTAGGGATTAGTACCTTCGTGACAGTGATTTAAGACAGGTGGAGAGTTCCTCTGGGGCCTGTTTGAGTATACCTTTCCTCCAGTAGCATGAGTTTCGGCTGGGAGTGCGCCTCTACTCCGAGGAAAAGCCCCAGGAAGCTGTGCCCCACCTAGAGGCGGCGTTGCAAGAGTACTTTGTGGCTGACGAGGAGTGCCGTGCCCTCTGCGAAGGGCCCTATGACTACGATGGCTACAACTACCTAGACTACAGTGCTGACCTCTTCCAGGCCATCACAGGTCCGTCCATCCTCCACCCTCCCAGAGTTGTGAGGTCGCTGATGCATGCACACACTATCTGAGGCCTCATCCTCAGTCTCTTCTTTTTTTCTTTCTTTTTCATTTTTGTTTGCTTTTTTATTTGTTTGTTTGTTTTAATGTTTTTTGAGACAAGGTTTCTCTGTGTAGCCCTGGCTGTCCTGGAACTTGCTCTGTAGACCAGGCTGACCTTGAACTCACAAAGGTCTGCCTGCCTCTGCCTCAAGCAAAAGATTCCTAAGCACCCACATAAAGCCAAGCACAGCAGCACATCCATGTAATCCCTGTGCTGGAGCTTGGTGGTCAGACAGTCTCATCATATGTATGAGCTTCTGTGTGAGAGACCCTGTCTCGAAAAATAAAGCGAGCAATGCTGGAGGAAGACCCCTGGCATCATCTCTGGTCTCTACACATGTGCATTCACACGTACCACACCCCTGCACACACCTGCACAAATACATGTGTATATCCACCACACAGAGATTGCTTTCCACTTCAATTTGTCTGTCTTAGCTAGAATTTGAATCCTAAACCATGACTTTCTTATTCCTCATCTTTGGTTCCTTCCAGATCATTATGTCCAGGTCCTCAGCTGTAAGCAGAGCTGTGTCACTGAGCTGGCTTCCCACCCAAGTCGAGAAAAGCCGTTTGAAGACTTCCTTCCTTCACATTATAATTATCTACAGTTTGCCTACTATAACAGTAAGGTCTACTTTCTTTCTTCTGATGCCTCAACAAGAAGGTTAGCCAGACAGACAGGGTTTGCAGCCACTCTACTTCTTCAATGTGTCTAGCGTATATGTCTATGGGAGGCCACATGTCCAGTGATCCCTGGGTATTTCGGTCACAAGCCACCGGCCAAGGTAGCCAATGTCAGTGGCCCAAAAGCTGAGAACAGAGGACTCTAGGGCCTCTTTCTTGTGATCTACTTTTGCATTTGAATTAAAATGAATAGCAAAAGTAAAGCTGTACTACTGTTGAAACCAGCTCACAGGACATGCCCAGACCTCCTCCCAGTAAAGGGACTAAAAATATCCAGCGGAGGGGGGCACGGGACAGCAAATCAGCAGTTGTTTGCTGGGTACCTACTGGGCACCAGCCTTTATAGCATATGCACGAGTGCGTGTGTAGCTGAGTTGAAAAGATCTGTTTATAATCTTCCTCTTCTAAAAAGGCATGTTGTGTAGCAAGTCCTGCTTTGCCCTGTCATCATGGCCGCAAGGCTTCTCTGCAACCAGAAGCTAAATGGATGTTGGTACCCATGATTACACCCTTTCCTCAAAGACATCCTCTTTTCTTCCTTTACAGTTGGGAACTATACACAGGCTATTGAATGCGCCAAGACCTACCTTCTCTTCTTCCCTAATGATGAGGTGATGAGCCAGAATCTGGCCTATTACACAGCCATGCTTGGAGAAGAAGAAGCCAGCTCCATCAGTCCCCGGAAGGTGAGGGGGTTGCTTCAGTGAGGACAGCTTCTGGCTGAACCCAATCAGAAAGCAGAAGGGTGCTGCTGGTGCGGGGTGGGACAGGTTCTGGACTCAGCTTGTCACTCAGGGTGGGGAGGAGTACCAGGAGTTTGCAGGAGGCTAGAACCTCACAGCAGCCTCTGGATTTGGGTGTGTGCTCTTCAACTTGGCACACAGAGGTTTTTCTGTCCTGCTTGGCACCCAACCCAGATGCTGCTGGATGCCATTGCCCAACGCCAGTGCTGTTTCCTTCATAATGGGTTTCTGGTTCTGTTCCCTCCCAAGTGCATGTCTCCCTGTTCTCTCCTATCAGTCAGCATTTCTCACAGCTCTAGAATGAGAAAGAAAGACTTCTATCTGAGGGGAAGACATAGTTCCTCCCACACAGCTCCCTGGAATTGAGTCTCCAGAGAAAAGAATCCTATTGTCAGCTCCTTTCAGGTGACACTTGCTTTCTTGTAGTTACCCGTCTTGGCCACTAGGTGGTGGCCGTCTAGCTTTAAGAAGCCCTTTCCAGTCTTTGTCTTGCTTGGTTAACACTTTTTTCCTTCCTTGTGACCTATTAGCCTGGGAAGGGGAAAGAAAACACTCCACCTGGGAATGTTTATCTAGAACTCTCCACCAGGAAGGGAGTCACCAGCATTGGTTTGAGCCCCAGCCCAGGCCTTCCCCCTTTGTAATCAGTATGACTGGCCTCTGCGCAGGCATTCTGCCTGCTGTAGCGATGAGAACATGCAGATGACATAATTTGTGCAGTGGATCTTACTAATTAGTGGCGACTGGAATCTGCTGTCTGCCTTGTCCCTGTACTGACATGGTTCCTGACACATGGCTGATACTCAGTAGGTCATTGTTGGCTAACAAATAACAGCAATGGGGTCTGCTTCCTATACCCTCATCGACTTGTTGGTGAGAGTAAAATGAAGTAGCACATGTGGCTTGGTGTCTGGCATTTGGAGGAGGAAGCAAACAATTTAAACTTAAGATTTCCTCTTCCTCTTGGGTGATTCTGGTAGCTGATGAGTAGACTCCTTTAACATGTTTCCCCTTGAACTTCCTCACCTTTGTTACTGTCCTTTTCTCTTCCTTCTGCTGCTTGGATCCTAGCAGGGGACCTGGGCAAAGATGTGACCCCAGAAAGGACTCAGTTTCCCTGCCCTGGGTAAGCCCTCCCCCTGAGCACACATGGGATGGGGTCTGGTCCTTCTGAGGGGTGCATGGACCTGAGGACCCAGTCCCCGGGTTTGAGTGGACTGTCACTTTCAGTCCCACTGCCCCTTCTTCTTTAACCCGTGGGCTCCCACTCAGGAAGCAAAGGCTTCCTGGGCTGCATAGTAAGACCTGGTCTCAAAACAAAAATGGCAAGCAAGATGACTCAGTGGGTAAAGGCATTTGCTGCCGAGACTGAGGACCTGAGTTTGATCTCTGGACCCATGTGATGCAAGGAGGGAACTGGCAAATTATCCTCCAACCTCTGCACTGGCTGCAGCGTTTGTATGTAGACATGCACACATGCACACAGACACATGCATGCATGTGCACACATATACAATAAATAAATAAATAGAATAAAAGATTCTTTTAAAAAAAATTGTTTGCCACACAAGCTTGTGACCTGAGTTCAATCTATAGAACCCACATAAAGGTGGATGGAGACCACAGACTCCACAAAGTTACCCTCTGACCTCCACACATGCACTGTGGAAGTCATATGCTCCAGGACACATGAAGTAAAGAAATAAAATATATGTCAGGCGATGGTGGCACACATCTTTAATCCCAGAACCCAGGAGGCAGAGGCTGGCAGATCTCTGTAAGTTCGAGGCCAGCCTGGTGTACAAGAGCTGATTACAGAACAGGCTCCAAAGCTACAGAGAAACCCTGTCTCTAAAGGAAAAGGAAATAAAATATAATAAGGAAAGTAAAAGGAGGGCTGCAGATACAGCTCTGTTGGCAGAGAGCTTACTAGCATGCTTGAAGCCCTGGATTTGGTTCCCAGAATAGCAAAAGCCAAAAGAAAAAAATTGGTGTTGTGAAGCACATGTCCCATTCTGGGAATTATCAGATCTGTTTGGGAGATCCCCTGGGATCTTCCATCCAGTGCAGCTGAGTTATGCTGCCCTCAGGGTCTTCTTGAGCACAGAAGAGAGACCTTTGACCCAGACTGGCAGCACATAACCTGTGATGGGGAGAAAATACCTCAGTCACATAGGGAAATGTAAAATGCCAGGGAGGACCACGCTAGGGCTAAAGGGTAGAGCTAAATTCCAGGAGAGTCTTTGTTTCCGCAGAATGCCCAGGATTACCGACAACAAAGCCTGCTGGAGAAGGAACTGCTTTTCTTCGCTTATGACATTTTCGGAATTCCCTTTGTGGATCCGGTGAGCCAAAGCAGAAACTAGAAGGAAGGGAAAGAGGGAGGCACTGAGAGGTGAGGGAGTCCACGCTGCACAACTCTGAGGAGAGACTGGGGCTGAGCCAAGCATGGGATGTGTGGACCCTGAGGATGGGAGACAAAGTGGAAGGGGAAAGGGAACCCTGGGCCACTAGAAGTGACAGGTTTCAAGGGCCCACTTCATCACAGGCATTGATGCAGTGAACTGGAAGCCCCGTGTCATACACTGGGACCTGGAAGATTAAGTCACCCTACTTGTTATTCTGACCCATCTCAGGACTCATGGACCCCGGAAGAGGTGATTCCCAAGAGACTGCAAGAGAAACAGAAGTGAGGGCCTGGTAGAAATGCCATGGTTGGATCGGTCTGACGAAGCACTTGAGGCTTCCTGCACCCAGGCAGATGAGAACTCCTGCCAGGGGTGGGCAGGTCCAGTCGGGGAACCTGGGGTGGGAACCGGGGCCGGCCCCCACAACCTTCAACACTGCCATGCTCACAGGTCAGAACGTGAAACTGCAGCCCGCATCTCCCAGGAGATTGGTGACCTTATGAAGGAGATCGAGACCCTCGTGGAGGAAAAGACCAAGGAGTCTTTGGATGTGAGCAGACTGACTAGGGAAGGTGAGCCAGCAGAGGGGGCATGCCCGCAAAGTGGGCCCCCAGACAGGTCTCCCCACATTTATCAGGCAGCAGCACCCGCTAGGGCTTTGCTCAGCCCATCATATACCAGCTTCTGCCTGAACAGTAAGCACCAGGACTTCCTCCACATCCAACACACCAAGGAACTGCCATCCAGACAGCCCTGAGAATGGGCCTTTGCCTTAGAAGTGAGATTCCTGTGTCAGTTAGACTAGCATAGTCACAGTAAGTGTGGATGGCATAAACCTTCCTGTCTCCCTCTCCCAACTCTCTTCTGGCCACTCATGGTATTATCAAAAGGCAAAATCTTCCTGTCTTCTCTACTCCATTTGCCATACTTTCAACCCCCAGTGATGGCCATTCTCTGCTCTCCTGCCTTTTCCTCTTCCATGTCACTTCCTGTCTGTTACATCCTTTCCCACACACAAACACCAGGACCATACATGTATCCACAGTAGTCAAGCATCCTCCCTTCACATCCTCTATATGTGTTCATCCTCCGTTTGTGCATCCTCCCTGCCTCTACATCAAACGAGACGGGCTGCTTCTGGTCCCCCGAGCCTGCCATTGGCCCACAGGTTGCTGCTCATGTTTGTCCTGAAGTTACCTCTCGCCACCTCTGCCCTTAAGGACACCGCAGAGAGACCTTTGAGTCTGTAAGGGCTCTGTAGTATGCCTGACGCTGGTTGTTGTCTGACCTGGAAACGATGTCTTCAGGGGTTGGGCTCTCGGTTGCATCCCTCACAGGTTCTCAGCATGTAGATGGGGTTGACCAGGTGTCTGGTGTGGCCTGAGCAAGCACTTGACAGCCACAGGAGAGAGGGTCTTTGCCAGTGCTCACACTGACTGGGTGCATTCAGCAGGATCAGCATGTGAGAAGTCTGTCCAGCACTGCTTTGTTTTCAGAGGGTGCTTGCTGTCTTCCTTGCTTTTCATCATGTCTGAGAGGTAGGATAGGCAGATTACAAGGCTGCTATTGTACATAGTGTGATGATGAAAGTATCACAGGCAGCATCTTCGAGCGTTTGCTATTTGCCAGATACTATACTGAGAGTTTACCTTGCCATATTTGTTATTCACATTAGTCTGCTGTCAAACTCATAAGGTAGCTGCTATTAGAGTAATTGATCAAAAATTAAGGTTGGGCTAGGCCGTGTTGGTGCACACCTTTAATCCAGCACACGGAGGCATAGGCAGGTGGATATCTGTGAGTTTGAGGCCAGCCTGGTCTACGCAGTTAGATTCTGTCTTGAAAAAGAAAAAAAAAATGTGTCTGAAGGAATGGCTCAGTGATAAGAGCACTGGCTACTCTTCCAGAAGACTCAGGTTTGAGTCCCAGAACCCATAGGGTGGCTCATAACTGTCTGTAACTTCAGTCTCAGGGGATCTGATTTCTTCTGAATTCATTGAGCACCAGGCACTCGTGGTACACAGATATACATGCAGGCAAAACACCTACACACATAAAAATAAAATATTTAAAAGAAATTAACCTCATAGTAATTTTAGTAGATTAAGTAATTTGCTAAGGTCACACAGTAAGTGGGGGATTCGGGAACTCAAACCCAGTTCTTTAATTCTGAAGTGCATGTTTTAAGACTACATGTAGCCGTTCACTCAGTGGGTAGAGGCCCAAGAGCTGGCAGCTGTTCGTTGGCAGACTGAGGCCTAGGATCTGGACCTCCTGATTCTGTCCTCTGGAGTGACTGAATGGGGCTTTCTCTGGAATGCCTGTGTTTTCCAAGGAGGTCAGTCTTGTCCTTGATTTGCAGGTGGCCCCTTGCTGTATGAAGGCATCAGTCTCACTATGAACTCCAAAGTCTTGAACGGCTCCCAGCGGGTGGTGATGGATGGTGTGATCTCTGACGACGAGTGCCAGGAGCTGCAGAGACTGACCAACGTAAGGGTCGCCCCGTTTCCAAGTGCTCCTCCTGGGTGCATCGGTCCCTGTTACCCTTAGTTGTCACCCCTCATCAGACACTCGACTGCCCTGACTAACTTGTCTTGTCTTCTGGGCCCATTAGGCAGCAGCAACTTCCGGAGATGGCTACCGAGGTCAGACCTCTCCACACACCCCAAATGAAAAGTTCTACGGTGTCACCGTCCTCAAGGCTCTCAAGGTAAAATCCATCCCGGCTCTCTAGAGCATGGAGCAGAGAGAATCTGCTGGCCAAGGAGGAGGAGGGCACTCCAGCTCTGGAGGAGTCGGGGCGGGAGGTCGACAGGGAGAAGTGTCGCGTTGCTGACATTGCAGCTGCCAGGGAGTGAAGATAAAGCTCTGCCAAAGAGATTTCCCTGTAAATCTTGGCTGCTAGACGAGGCGTAATAAAAATGAGGCAAGTGAGATGAGATGGGTCCCCAGGCGTGTGGGCTGCCTGTGAATCGCGGCTGACCCCAGAGGCCGTGCTCCTCAACAGGGTACATGAAATATGAAGGAGAGAGGAGAGGAGAAGAGCTTGCTCCTTCAGCAGCGGGAGGGAGATGCTCTCGGTATGCAGCCTGTACCTCAGTGTCCTGACAGCCTGTAGAGGAGCGTCAGGGCAGCTGACCACCAGTGTTCTTTGCAGCTTGGGCAGGAAGGGAAAGTTCCTCTGCAGAGTGCCCACATGTACTATAATGTGACAGAGAAGGTTCGGCGTGTCATGGAGTCCTACTTCCGCCTGGACACACCCCTCTACTTCTCCTACTCCCACCTCGTGTGCCGCACTGCAATAGAAGGTAGGCTTCGTCACCCCTGCAGCTTCTCACGAGTAGGCTGTGCCCTGTCGCTGCATGGGACACTGCGGACATGGAGAAGAAGAGGGTGTGGTCCCTTCATGCTGGCTGAGAAACCTGGCAGTAGCATGGAGAAAGATCCCGTCAACTAGCCAGGGGTCAGGAAGCCTTCCAGGGAAAGTGGTGGGAAGTTTGCAGAATGGATGTGTTTGTGGAGTCCACAGGGAAACAGGAAGCCCTGCAAGCCAGGGAGACCAGTTCTAACAGAGTGGAAGCACCATGGGAGCCATGGGAGCTAAGAGTGTTGCCAACTCACAGAGAACCATGTTCTGGAGTTCGTGTTGTCTGCTTTCATTCGGTCCTGCACTGTGCTGCAAGCAAGCGCTCTCTTAGTAACTGTTAGATACCAGTCTTGTGTGGGAGCTAGGGCATGAAGTCAGAGAGGTACAAGACCTTGTTCTCCCTGATATCCCCTGTGCTTCCCTGAGCAGGGGGGAGGCAGAGCCAGGCTACAGGGATCACTTGTGGCCCACAGCCAGCTCTGCCCTTCAGTAGCATTCAGAAGACTCTGGCACCAACACCTCCTTGGAAGGTGGCTGGCACTTCTCTCTCCCTCAGGGTGTTAAAAGCTCGAAGAAAATCTGGACACACCAGGAATGTGTCAGGCACTTGGCTGCGTGCCAAGAGCCTGGAGGTGGAGGAGTGCTGGCACAGGGAGGAGTCAGCAGACACTGGAGGACCTGGCAGAGCCTTCATTTTTAAAAGATGAATCTTACTGCTGTATGTGGCGAGATTGGGAGCAGGTGGAGCAGAATAGAGTCAGGGGAGCTGGTCAGCAGTGACCACAGTGGGTGAGCATGAAGGCTAGAAATCTGGAAGTGGCAAGGAGGCAGAGAGAAGAGATGCCCCAGGAGAGGCGTAGAGGAAGACAGGCAGGTGCTGATGAGTGGCTGGACCCGATAGGGCAGCATCTGCCATCCCCACACAAAGTGTGCCAAGGTTTACACTGGAGGAAGGTGTGATCCACTGGCATTTCCAGTCACCCTGTCTGTTGTCTTTCCACATTCTCTCCCTGTGTGGTTCTCCACCATCCCCAGTGCCAGAGCTCCACTTCTCTGGCTGCACTCTGCTGCTTCTGTTGAGCTGCACCGCGCCTCCTGCAGGCCTGCTGTGCCCTTCCTCTGTTTACCACTATGGTCCTTCTATTTAAGAAAGTCTCTACCTCTCCCAGGATGATAGCACTCAGCCCAGTCTGCTTTGTTGGCATCGCTAAGCTGTAGCTTAACCAAAGACTCCTCACAGCCCAGTCCGTGACAGTTCCATAGACTCACATACGTTTGAGGGCACACCTCTGTCCCCTGCCCCATCTGTCGACAAGAAAGTCTCTCGCTGTGTCTCTTGTATGTCCTACTCTAACATGGATTCTCTTGGCCTCAGAGTCGCAGGCTGAGAGGAAGGACAGCAGCCACCCAGTCCATGTGGATAACTGCATCCTGAATGCCGAGTCCCTCGTGTGCATCAAGGAGCCCCCTGCCTACACTTTCCGAGACTACAGGTAAGTGCACCACAGGGGGGCGCCAGGGCACTGTGCTTGCCCTCAGAAGTCCATCCATGTCCTGTACTCTGCCTCCCCACCCTTCATGCACACGTGCACACACAGACAGAGGCAAGCTGTCTGCAGGGGCCAGTCCTCACCCTAGTTTCCACATAGGAAGACACAGGAAGACTGTCTAGTAGGGGAAGCCCTCAGGAAGGGTGTGATAGGAGGACCTGCGGGGTTGGGCACACAAGCTCACCAGCCTAGGGTGTGATGGAGTCTCTCAGGTTGGTGGGGGGGAACCTTGTGAGATGTGTATAGCTTCAGAAAAGCTTCTGGCCTCCAGCTGCTGGTTGAAAGCACACAGTGGGGGCTGGAGAGATGGCTCAGAGGTAAAGAGCACTGGCTACTCTTCCAGAGGTCCTGAGTTCAATTCCCAGCAGCCACATGGTGGCTCACAACCATCTGTAATAAGATCTGGTGCCCTCTTCTGGCCTGTAGGACACATGCAGGAAGAACCCTGTATACAGAATAAATAAAAATCTTTAATAAAAGAAAGCACACAGAGGGGGTTCCAGGGAGCAAGGGATAAGCCGTGTCTGGATTCCCTGCCTTCCAGTGCCATCCTTTACCTCAATGGGGACTTTGATGGAGGAAACTTTTACTTCACTGAACTAGATGCCAAGACTGTGACGGTGAGTGCTCCCCGTCCTCATCCCGGGGACAGAAGCCCTGTTCTCTAGAGCTGATGTCCCCAGTGCTTCCCCCAGTGGTACCTGTCCCCAAGCCAGGGACTCTGGGATATGACAGCTCTCCTTTGACTGTCCTCCTGGTCCTAATTACCCATTACTCTCCTGAGACCTTTTCGCAATTCGCCTCTTTTCTCTCCATAGGCAGAGGTGCAGCCCCAGTGTGGAAGGGCTGTGGGGTTCTCTTCCGGCACTGAGAACCCACACGGAGTGAAGGCTGTCACCAGGGGGCAGCGCTGTGCCATTGCCCTGTGGTTCACGCTGGACCCTCGACACAGTGAGCGAGTAAGAGCTGTGTGAGGCCTGCCTGTCTGTTTCCGAAGGCTCTGGGCCCTTCCTCTGAGAACTGCTGCTAGTGGGTCAGTCAGAAGGAGGTCTGGGCTAGGAACTCCCCACCCCGTGCACTTACTGCAGGCATTGCTGCCTCACCCTCCCTGGACCATCCTTTTCACGTGTGAGTAGGGGACCAGCTCACTCCTTGGACCCTGTTCCAACTACCAGTGCTTAGGCACCAAAGTTTAGACCGGCTGGGAAAAGAGGTGGTCCTATGGCAGCATTGCCATTGTTCTCTCTGGAAGCAGCAGCTCAAGGCTGGGGGCGGGGGGTGAGGTTGCTTGCTGAGAAATGGTTTTCTGTTGCAGGACAGGGTGCAGGCAGATGACCTGGTGAAGATGCTCTTCAGCCCAGAAGAAGTGGACATCCCCCAAACGCAGCCCCTGCACGACCAACAGGGCTCCCCAAAACCTGGAGACAAGTCTCTGTCAGACAGAGAGTTGCAGCACAAAGATGAGCTATGACAGCAGCTAGGTCACACATGGTGTCACTGGACCCATGGGAACTCGGTCCTGCAGCCTGGACTTCCCAGCCCCTCGGCTGCAGAGTGAGGGGCACCTTTGTCCGCTCACCAGCCAAAGGATCCTGCCCACAGCCTTCCCCATGGTGCTACTGTTCTTAGAGTGGACGCGGCAGGGCGCCACTCCTCCGGGCTTGGCTGAGGGCTCAGGACATAGGCCCAGAACCACCCTGGGGCCTATGTAGGCAGCTGCCAAATGGCAGCATGATATTTAAATGTCTGTATAGACAACCAAAGAATAAATGATTCACGTTTTTTCATTTAGTGGTTTGTTCCAGGAGAGGAAGTGTTTCCATTCTACCCCGGAGACCATGTTTGGTAGCAGTTTCTCTGGCCAGTGTGTGGTGGCCCATGCTACACAGGAAGGCCTGGCCCAATACGCAACAGGGTTACTTCCTGTGCAGCCTCAGGCCAGATGCTGAACCCAGGTACAGAAGGGGCATCTTGATCCTCACTGTGTCCACCTTCTGCGGGACCTGAGTGGCCCAGACACAGCACCGAGTGTGACAGCACTCCGTACACTGTAAAGCCGTGGACGAAGCATCCGGGCTGTTGCTAATCCTGGAGAGCAGCAATCAGCAGTGCTCTGGCATGTTTGCTTCCTGCTCTGCTGGACCTGAGACCAGAAACACAGAACTGGAGATTCAGTTCCTCTGACCACACAGCCAGCACCAAGCCTTCACCACGCTTGAGATGCCACAGGACAGAGTGTAGGAACCTGCGCCTGAACAATCATTAGTCAGTCAGACAATATTTATTTAGTGAGCAGCAGCCTCGTAATGGGATCATGAGAGGGAACAAAGTAAGCCTGGTCCTCACAGAGCTGTGTTTTATAGGAGATACATAATAAACGTGTAAATATCATGAGTGTGGTTTGTATAGCCTAAGCCTTTGCTATAGAACGTCAAGTCAGGGCCCCAAGGCAGAAGAAGCAACAAGAAGTTTGATGAGGGGCAGAAGAGATGACTCAGCAGGTAAGAGCCTTTGCTACTCTTTGCTTCCTGGTACCCATATCAGGTGACTTTTAACCACCTGTTTCTCCAGCTCCAGGGACTCTGATGCTCTTCTCTAGCACCAACACAAACATGGCATACACACATACAAATAAAAACAAATCTTTAAAAGAAAAAAAAAAAAGACTAATGCAGGGGCAGAGAGTGGACCAGGAAGAGAAGGGCAGATGGACAGGCAGATGCTGAAGGCCCCAGCATCAGGATGTGACTACCATATTAAAAGTCTCCTCGGGTGCCAGGCAGTGGTGGTGCAGGCCTTTAATCCCAGCGCTCAGGAGCCAGAGGCAGGTGGATTTCTGTGAGTTGGAGGCCAGCCTGGTCTACAGAGCGAGTTCCATGACAGGTTCCAAAACTACAGAGAAACAACCTTGCCTCCAAAAAAAAAAAAAAAAAAAAAGTTTCCTTGGGTAATACATAGAGAATAAGCTATTGGAACAGGAATGGCAACAACCAAAGAGGCTGCTAAGTGATGAGGGAGAGGAGGAGGTCGGGGCCAAGCGACAGAAGGAGGTGCTGATGGGTTGTCATGAGGGATGAGCAGAAGCCTACCGCGCCAGCACGGTCTGGAACCACGAGTCTCGGCGGAGGGTGTCCAGGTTGAATGAAATCCACAGAACACAAGGTTGAGGTAAAACAACAGCTCGTTTATTG